ATCGGTGCTATAGAACGTGCTGCCACTTTAAAGTATTATTGAGGCATTAAAAATAAAAAATAAATCAATCAAATGTAGCCGATTTTTTTTAACATGATACGCGTTTGTAATTTGTCTTTGCAAACACATTTTAGGTATACTGCCACACAGCACGGACAAACTATTGCCGGTCTTTCTCATTTTGTTTTTTAGAAATAAATTATGTTTAGAAAACTGTCAATGCAACTATCCAACCTAAGTGGCAGAGCTCAGTGCTAGACAATACATGTTGCTGGGCAGAAATAGTAAATAGCGCCGATGTCGCGTTCGGGCTAAAAGTGCCACGTAATGCACGCGTACCGCTATAAGTGCGTCCGTACATTTCATCGAACGCCATTTCATCGAACGCCGTTTCACCAAAGCCGTTTCATCGAAGCCGTTTCGTCGAACACCGTTTCATCGAACGCCGTTTCCTCAAACGCCGTTTCAAAGAAGCCGTTTCCTCGAACGCCTTTTCATCGAACAACGTTACAGTGTGTAATATTTAGGAATTTACTTTAATTTTTATACACAACTTCATCTAATTCTCTCCTTTTTTTTTCTTTTGTTTCTGTTTTTATATCACTGGGTGCAGTGACGAGATAAGTTCCATCGTGAACATTTCCTGCTTCGAGAAGAAGCCTCCATGAAACAATGACCCCTCTCCATGTCACATAAAACAATTAAAAATGAGGCAAAAACAGAAAGCACGGACACTTAAAAGTGTTCTAAGTGTCTGTCTTTTATTTGCAGCGTCGTGGTTTCAGTCATATATGTATATGAGTAAAGATTTTCAGTAAGTCGCATACCCAATTGTTTTTATTTCTTTTTATGCCAATTGCTTTTATCTTTAGTAATTTGACACCACCTTCAAAACAATTTCACAAGTGACTACCTTAGTCTTAACAAATGCAAGGTGAAACATCTATAAAGCACTGTTATGCCCCTAAACTCGGTACAGAGCCATAACAGAGAAATTCGATGAAACGGCCCTTAGCGATTCGATGAAACGGCGTTCGATGAAATGTCCGTTCATTCGATAAAACGACTTTCTATAAAATGGCGAAAAAGTGAGGTTCAGGCTTGGTCGGAGATAGCTACGGTTACACTCGTACGCTTTTTCAGTTCTATCTCGCATATATAAGCTTCTTGCTCAAATAAACATTGGCATCTGACTTTTCGCTCATCTTGGCCTTTAGCGCGACTGTTAACAAGTTCTAAAACAGTCAAAGCAAAAGTGATTTAATTAGCTCAGGATTATAGGTTGAGTGAAATATTTACAAAGTTCGAGGTTCCCTGAGTCGTCTTTTATATTCAATCCCCCCCCCCCCCCCCCCCCCCCCCCCCACTCACCACCACTTCCTTCCTCTAAATAAACAACAAAGGTTTTTTTTTGAACCACCAGTAATGGAGCGTACTCGCAAAACGTCTATTTGGCGTAAGAAAACGTAAGAAAGGCCTTGTTTAAATGTTCGAGCAATGAACTGGTCTTCTTACTGTGCGTGACACAGCTAGCACGAACACAATATTGACATTTTTACGGAAGGGCCATGCAGAATTTAGTGTAGAACAAATTGATGCCTCGTAAGTTGGTGCCCAACGGAAGCACTCTTTTTACCGAATTGCTTATTTAAAAATAACAACTTTTCACCCATAAAAATAAAACAAAATAACACCACTTCTTTGGGGGCCACTAAATTTACTGATTCACTCCGTTAGCATTGATTGTGCAGCGGTATGCGTACATTACGCGACACTGTTAGCGCAAACACGACATCGGCGCTTTTTGCTATTTTCCCCAGCAATGTATCGACTCGCACTAAACTCTACCGCTTAGCTGGGATACTGGCATTAACAGTTTCCTAAACATCATTCAGTTCTAACAAGAAAAAAAAAAAGCGGGAAACACCGGCGATTGTTTGTTTGTGCTAACTGCGTGGCGTAGGGTACCTAAAAGTTTTTTACAATGCTAAATACAATTCTGTGTCACGTTAAAAAAAATTGTCTGCTTTTGCTTTAGTTTCTTTGAGACACACAAATACTTCGAAGTGGCGGCCCGTGCTATGGTACCGATACAAGCAACGTTGAACCATAACACGACACGTTGGACTCGCCAAAAAGGGTTTTAATATTGTCTTTTCCGCTCCATAGCCACACTCGATAAAGAATGTAAAGAGCGAATCTAGCTTACATTTCGTTCTGGGGTACGGACCGTACGGTTATCTAAGTGGCTAAAAGTGACCCACTAAAACTTTCTAAAATTGACATCCACCCTTGATGCCCTCTCACCTAGGTGGTTGTTGGGAATGTGTAAATATGAATTTCATACATTTTGCTGGCCATCATGTTCTGCGAGTTAGGCACACAACAGGGCATTTTAGTAAATCGTTTTCAAAGGCCCGCTGCCACTTCAGGCGCATGCTTCAGAGAATGCATCGAAGTGGCAGCGCGAGCTTCCGCTAAATATATGTGGCCTGAAAACATAGTCTGCTAAAGTTCTCCAATAATTTGTGCTCGCTGCTAGAAAACAGAGAACTTCTAGAAGATTCCCGCGCCTGGTGCATCGTTTTCTTTTCCATCGATCCCAATTTGAGGCAGGTTTGAGCGTGATAAGCCGTTTTTTTAAAGATGGAATGTTTTGTGAAGATGTAAGTCATCCTTACATATTCAAGTCACCACTTCTCGCGCATGTCTTTTGAGCTCCTTGATGAACCAAAAATATCCATGACACGTTCCTTCAATGGGTGCGGGGATGCATCGCAGCTCTCAAGTATGTGTTTATTTTGCCACAGGCTAAACCAAAGACCTTCGACAGCTGAAATTAGGTGATTGCAGCTCCGTAAAACCTACACCCGAGAAGCTAGGCTTGGTGAGCGCCAAAAAATGGGGCAGATTACGCGATAGGATCTGAAGCTACCTGTAAGTCACGAGGTCGCTGCTGCCGCACCCATCGCCCGTCGCTCAAAATGGGGATTTTCTCGGCTTATCCTCTCAGAAGAAGCCGGCGCAAAAGGCGACCTTTCCCCTCGCCTCGCCGTGCTACAATACAAGAAAGAAAGAGGGCGAGGAGGACTTTCCGCCAGGCGGAAGAATATTTTTGCTGGTCCGCCTTTAACGGGGTAACCCGCTGCGATAAACACTTGGAAAATATGAATATCGCAATCGTGTGCTTGGGAAAAAAGCATACATTCAAAGCGGGATAGTCCACGTGTGCCGGCTTTATTTGGGAATAAATGGAAACTTTGTAAATGTGCATATCTACATTGCAGTAAAAGTTCCAAAATTAAACTGACTGTTATGCAAGAGAATACTATGTTAAGCAGAGATGCCCTTACAACCTGCATTCAACATGCACAATTGTTTCTTTTTTAATTTGAGATTAAAGAAGGAATATTTTATATAGCAAGATTTGTAAATTCACTCAATTGGGTATAGTTGGCCACCTCTATAAGATTCATTTTATGTCAAATACGTCGTTTACTTGCCATCCCAAGACACCAGACCTCATGAAGACAAATTAAACAATATAGATAAACTTGGCTTGTAAATGAACAAGTCGAGCAACCTTCACAAGTTTAGCTGGGTTTTTGTCTAAGCATTAAGCAATGGTAGCGAAAAGCGGGGAAAAACTATTCTACATTCGAATTGAAAATATTCGGTCCAAACCAGTACATATTCGCTTTGAATTCACTTCAAAGTCAATATCCACTATTCGCACAAGACTAATTCTTGGTTTAGAGCTAGTAACCTCCAGGCATTTTTTCTCAGGCTGTGCCTTCAGGCATCTCCACACCCCTTCACCCCATTGATGCTCTTGTTCAACCATTGACTACTCTCCACCCCATAGACTTTCCCTATCAGCTTCCCCGCTAAGTTTAGCGGGGAAACTGAATTTGTGTATAGGTCACGTCATTTTCTCCGCTAAACTTAGTGGGAAAATTGAATTGGCGTTGAAGTCACGTGACGTCAATTTTCCCGCTAAATGTAGCGGGGAAGCTGAAGTCATGTGATGTCACAGGCCACAACTTCACGAAATCTAGAGCAACTAGCCAAGAAATGTTCCATGTTAAAACAAAAATTCGATGGCTGTCAGCATGCTCTGCGGTGGCAAAATCTGGAGGCACCAAGAGGGGAAGCTGCAATGAGCCGGCGACACTCCGGCGCTTGCCACTGGGATGCCAATCGCCCAAAGGTTCTGGCCCGGAGCAGCCCGGGGCCCTAGATGCTGATTTGAAGAAATTTTGTTTTTTGCGTGTCCGTCTTTCGAAAGTGGCATGTTGCCAGTTTTTTTTTCTTATTTCCTTTTTCACTTTAGTTATCTTTCGACCCCCACCTTTTGCCGTATTTCCCCTCTTCAAGTCAGCCGTTTGAGCAAGGCATTCTGGCGTGCAAGGTGGGTAGTCCACGTGTATGGTGCGCACTACCGTCACTGCTCGTGCTGGCTCATTGACTTCACATGAGTAACATACTGTGGCACTGTTTCCGAGTGCATTACGCATGCATAACAACATAATTTGCGTAGAATGGTGTTTCCGATGAAAAGTCAAAACCGTAAAACGAAATTAAGCTTACATATTTGTTCTGCTTGCCTCATTTCTGCAACACGTCCAGCAATACACCTGTTTGATTTTTAAATTTTTTTTTTATGCAGATGTTGTTGCGTAAAATGCACTTTTTTTAGCGACTGGGAGCTGCATACTTTTCCTTTTAAGAACTGCCTTGGACCGGTTTGCGCCCGGTGGAGCTGGTAATTCTACTGTTATTTTGAAGGCGTCGCCGAACCAAAAGCAGATGCAAACCTGCCGAACCCAAACCGAACCGGAATAACGACTGGTTTGACTCCCTGGCTTCGGTGGCTCGCGAACATGCGCAGCCAAAGCACCACAAAAGGAAACAAGCTCTTGCCGGAGGCCAGGCATTCTAAAGAGACGACCTGCCGTTCGCACCCCATCTCTAGCGACAGAGAATTAAGCTCCGCCCACCTGGCAGGCGATGCCCGCGAGTGAGCAGGAGCATGAGTCAGGCAAGCAGCGGCCCTTGCAGGTGCAGCCGCAGAACTCCCGCGAGGCCCGGATGTCCCGGCACTCGTCCTTCTCGAGCGCGTCGATCCGCCGCACCCCGCTGGCGCGCAGGAGCGCCCTCCGCTTGCGTGTGGGCACCGGCTGCAGGTAGTTGAGGGTGTCCACCTCCTCCTCCTCCTCTTCCTCCTCCTCATCCTCCTCTTCTTCCTCCTCCCCCTCGTTGTTAGCCTGCTCCTGGGATCCCGAGGATGGCACGGGGGTTATTGGGGTGCTAGGTGAACTTCAAATCGAATCGCTAGTAAGACATTCGGTTAAGTACCAGCGTTTAAGGGGCGGTGAAACGATTTTTGTGCTTTGCACAAGTACTGTCTAGAATGAATCGCCAACAATAGAAAACCCGCGAAACACGCATTATTTTTTCTCTCCGCGCAATGGTGGTCGCGGAAATTCTTTTTTAAGAAAAACAAGCAGTCAGAGCTTAACTTGCAGCCAGAACAAGCGGCAGCGTGATCTGGAGCTGATTATATGCAACCAATATTTATCATAGCCACGCGTGGGGGTTGCAGTGATGTGATTGGCCTAAGCCATTTTGGAGCACCTTTCGGAGCAGTCAAAACAGTGTTTTGGAGCAGCAAATGTGGCCTTTGGAGCAATCAAAACAGTGTTTTGGAGCAGCAAAAGTAGCTTCTGGAGCAGCCAAGACAGTGTTTTGGTGCAGCAAAAGTGGCTTTTGGAGCAGATATTCTTAGAAAAATAAAAATATTTGTTTTAAGTGCTGTACAAACGAAGGGTACTTTGTATTGTGCTGTGTTTTGATGTGACGGAACTTGCTGCTGTGTTTTTATTGCTGAGACATCCCAAAAGTGTACAGTGCTGTAGGCATTGCCGAGAAATTCCGAAAAACCGCTGGCCACCGTTTTACTGGTTCCCTATGTGCCAGATTTTCGTCAAAAGTAAGCAAGCGTCCCGGATGGTGCCTCTGTCGTGCATTCATGTTTACTTGCACATGGGGGCAACTTCGGCAGGCTTACAGTTGCGCGTGCTTCGTCCCGCGAGCGGAGACAACGGCTGTTCGATCGAAACCGAAACCATACCACTTAGCTCCGTCACTAACTGATTCCCAACATTGTATGCAAAATTTAACTGCCGACCATACGACAAAAAACAGAGCAGCGGCGCGTGCTTACCAGGACGGCAGACAAAATACAAACTAAACACACACACAAAAAAAAAAAAAAAAAACTGGGCGCATCGATGCAAGACATTGCGAGCCAGAGTCAGAAAGTTCTTGAAGCGCTTTGTGTAACGACTGAACTCGAGACAAACAAGCACGCTGTGCGGGTTCAGCGCGGACATTGCCCTCTTCGCTTTAGCTCACTTCTCTTCACCAAATTTCCTTCGCGGCAGATTTTTCACGTACCGGGGTCTCTCTCGAAAGAAAGTCCACTAAGAGCCCTAGGTAATTAGTACTTCGACACAACAGTCTCTCAGTTAAAGAGTGATTTTTATAGTAACGCCTGATTTAAACAAGAACAGGAATGTTGATGAGCATGCGGCGTTACTTAGTCTCCTTTTAGAAAGCGCCATATCTGCAGCGACATGGGAACGGCAACACCCGACGCCACGCGACCACGGTGACTGGAAGGCAGGAACCAAATATAGTTTCCACATGGCTGTTGCTTCCAGGAGCTAGTGCTTCAGCTCACAAAATAACTCCCATTGCGCAGAAACGTGGTTTCGTTTCACAGCATGACGGCATGGCTGGTACCCGGCATGCTAGCATAGGAGCGTCCGGACACACCCGCGTCTATCGTTAAAAATATATTAAAAAAAAAAAAAAAAAAAAAAAAACGATACTTACGAGGCAACGAGCGCGCAAAACTTGAGACGGCGGGAAAACCATGGAAGACCGGATGGACAATAGACTGATCCCACTAAGCGTTCCAGGTATGCGTGACGCCGCCATCACTGTAGTTCATAGGAGGCAGGCGCCAGTTCACGAGGCAGCTCGTACCGCCTCGTGCTCTGCTCGCGCAGGCCCTCAGCGGGGTTGTAGCGCGTGCAAAAAGACTACATCTCCCACGATGCATGGCGGCAGCGGTGGCGTAATAAAACTGGCTGTGAGATCGGTCTATTGATGCAGGGTACGTTGTATCGGGCGGCCACTTGCGCCACGTAATACACGCATGCTCAATTACGGTACTCAGTTTAGTTTCAATTTTGAAAGGCGACCAAAATTGGTTTTTTGGCGCAGGCTCAGCGCAGGTTACCCACATTTTGGTCAAATGTAGCAGGATGTAGCAGGGTTAGCCCCTTGGCGCAGTTCGGCGCAATTGGCGCAGCAATCACATCACTGGGGTTGCCAAAGCACAGGACATGTACCGAGCTGCAGACGTCGCTAGGGTCAAGCTATAGTTGTCACTGAAGCAATTGGACACGAGCCACCACCCGAACGCTCGTCGAGCAATCGATTATTGTGAGCCCAAATCGAGTGAAAGCGCAATGCTCGCATCCAATCTACGAGCCACATTCACATATCGTCGCTCGAGAAAGTATGCCTAATAGTGACTGTGCTTTGACTTAACCCCTTCATTGTTTTTAGTTTCGGCGAATTTCTGACACTCAACTGCTTAAAGGGTCAGACACGGTATTTATGCTCGCCAAGGTTTTTATTTGTACATGACATATGCGAGCACAACTACCCAGAACATGATATGCGACTCAAGATTCGTTTTCTTTCTGCCCGAAAACCGCCGATCGAGAACTGGCCGGTTTGAGTCGTGCTTACTCTCTTCTCCATGGTTGCATGCCGTTTTCTATGGTAAAGACACAACCACCAAAGATAATCAAAGTCGTGGGTCATTGAAGGCACACTTTCAATATTAAAAAAAGAAACAAATTATGATACCATTTTTTGTAACTTCTAAAAAGCTGCAAATACGTTGATTGAAAAGAAAAAAAAAAGTTGCACAGCCATGTGGCTTTTGGCAACACTCTCCTCCTCTGTATTTCTTCTTCCTCCCCGGTCCAGTTTCAGTTTCGGTTTCAAGCAGTTGCGTTTTTTTAGTTAATTTAAAATATTTATGATGCTGTAGCAAAATGCTGATTGGGTAGTCTTCTGACACCATTAATAATTGCCAAACAAAAAATAAATTTTGGGGAGAGTCAGTGTCTCTTTAATTGTTTCTTTTTTCAATATTACATTTGTTGCCTTCAAAATCAAGTTTCTAGCCACAAACAAAATGGGAGCAGAATTTAAAAAAAATCAGTGCTGCCATTTGTTAACACCAGAGCTTCAAGCTAAACTTCGAGCGAGCCTGGTTCGTCTAGAACAGTTGAGTGCGCGAACCGGTGAAAGCAGATGAGCTATACTTATTCTGAACGGTCTGGGGATGGCTTCACGTTCAGAAGCTAAGCTCGTCCAAAATGCTTAAGGGGTTAAAAGGATACTGAACCGAAATCTGGATTCCACAGAAAACAGCGGCAAAAGTGTGCAACGGGATGCTACAAACACCAAAACATCACTCATACAACAACATCTCGAATGGATGACAGTATTTTTCAAAAAAAGAGGCGCATTTGACAGCTTTGGTTACGTCTTGTTTTTCCGAGAAGGAGAGGGAAGAACTTCGCGTCTTCTCTGCCTCGCCGCCTTGAGGGGGCAAAACGAAAAGAGGAGGAAACGAGATATCTTGACGTCACGCGCCTCGTCGGCCTCAATCAATCTCAACCTCTTTTTCCAAAAATATGGCCGTCCATTCGAGATATTGCTTTACGAGTAGTGTTGTAGGGATTGTAGCGTCCTGCCTTCAGCTCCTGCATTGTTTTCTGAAATATAAATTTCGGTTTACCCTCCCTTTAAGGCAAAATTAAGTAAACCGACGAAGCATTATTATTAAAAAAGCATACATTCAACGAAGTCCAATATTTTCGCAGCCCTACCTGGTCTCCGTTCATGCCGTCACCGTGGCCCCCACCGTGGTTGGAGGCAGTCGCGTCGTTGTGGTCGTGGTGATGATGATGATGGTGATGGTGGTGGTGATAGTGGTGGTGATGGTGGTGGTGGTGGCTGTTGTTGTTCTGCAGGCAGGGGTGGTGGTTCTGGAACGGCGGGTGGTGACCCTCGCAAGAAGTGGACGCCACCACTTCGCCGGGCGGCGAGGAGCACGATGAGGACGAAGTAGTGGCGCAGTCCAGGTCGTCAAAGTGCAGGCGCCGCCGCTCGCTCGTGTACTGCTTCAGGCTAAACGTCTTCTTCTCCGTGTGCATCGGACTCATCCCTGCACCAGATGGAACGGTTTCCATGGAGTGCCGTGGCAACAGCAACGACGGAGAATGGGAAACACTAAAGCAGTTTTTTACTTTGCCTTCTGGTGGATCTAGCTTGTTCTATACACACCTCATGAAGTCCAGAAAAACTGTATCCATATAAAAGAAGTGGTTATTACTAGAAGGGGCCTGCTTCTATTTAAGAGGTGCAATTCAAAGCCTATCACCAAGCACACTTAGAGTAAGAGCACCTCCTAGCATCAAATGATTAGTACAGGGCGTCTCAAAACAAATAGTGCTCCCTTTCACCGCAAAACTAAGCTATATGCGTTGCTGCACGCCTTGTCTCTGCTTGTATGTAATGCTAGTAGCCTGGACCCGATGCCAAAGTTTCAAGACTAGCCGTCATATTATTTGAGAGTTGTAAATGACTGTCTGAAAATTTCAATGGGAAAGGGACGGCCAACGAAGCCCACAAATGCATGGGGCTGAATGGCATGAACAACCGAGAATGGGCACCCATTTTTCTGTCGAGATTTTCAGAAAATTGCTTATAACTTTTGAATGAGATAACAAATACAGTAGTTCTGAAACTTTGACACTTGGTTCAGGTACCACTAGTGCTACAGTTCATGTCTGCAATAAAAAAAAGAAAAGAAACACTGTACATCTTTGGGGGGGATAGGCTGTACACAGTGGGGCAGCAATATGCATGGTAGACGAATCAGTTTGTTGGTCTCGTTTATTGGTGTTGGTGCACCTATGGTCAACAGTCACTGTGCTTGTATGAACGTTTATGGGCTGGAGCGAGCTAATGTACGGGTGGATGTAGATGGCTCCCCAAAGATGCGCAATTACGGTAAAGCTTTGTAGTTGTAACGAGCCGGATGCACCTGCACTGAATGCCAGTAAACTGAGTTTAAAGCTTGACATTGTGCCAAAGGTAGAGTTAATTGGAATTAAGGGGGATCCCCTTTGTAAAACGAGTACAATTACCTGCTAGTTGTATGCACTACAGCCAGTGGCATCACAAGAGGGGGGGAGGCAGACCACCCCAAGTGCAGCACTCAGAGGGGTGTCGCGGCGGGCTTTGAGAGCGGAGGGGAGGAGGGGAACCACGAAAGCGGGGTGGGGAGGGGGTATTGTAATGGGCTATTGCCTCGGGTGCCGCTGACCCTAGTGACTACAGCCATTCCCATTTGTGTCTATCAAAACAACAAATGCCATGCCCCATTTCACCTTAATTATGGTGGACTGCTGCAAACGCTACGAGCCATCAGAGTCAATTTAGTGACGTGTAGGTGTTATGTGACCTTCAGGAGGGACACAGAGACGCACACAACGCATCTCTCGACCCTTGACCTTGAGGTTATCACCTAACCTACCCTAACTTAACCTTCGAAACTTGAAGATTACCTATGACTTTGACCTTTAACCCCAAGTTAGAGGTTGTGCAGGATGCACAGTCACATGATAGGCTCACAGTGCCGATTTTGCTGGGTTGGCCTGTAGCATCCACTGCAGTCCATCGTAAGGTGCAACGGAGTATGGAGGTCAGTTGCGTTCACATGGCGTCGGCATTGAAACATGCCCAACTAATCAACAGAACATGAACCTTTAACTTCATCACCTTTCCCTTTAAATGATGGTAGAGGTCAGTGTTTAAAAAAAAAAAAAACAATAGGAGCCCAGAATGTTATGCACAATAAGTGTGCTGTCATTTGAATGAGTGTGCGTCGTGAAATTTATAAATTGTCCTCCCGCTTCAGTAGCATAATTTGTGAGTTATTAATGTAGAAGCTAGCCATGAGGATACCGCATGGGCTATTTGTCGGAACCTCCTGCTGCAAACCACTGAAGCTTTCGGCTTCGCGTGTGTCAATGCCGCTCAGCACGGCAACCAGCTGGTATTTTTACTTTCTTTATTCCTTTGATTACATATAACATTTGAGAGCAAATAAATGCTTGTTTTCCAACTGAAAATGAAGCAGCCAACTACTACCGATGAAATCACCTGCAAATCAAACTTTATGCTTTGGCACCAGTATCATTTTCATGGTTTCAAAAAAAAAAAAGTTAAAATACTAAGCACTTTGGGGCAAAAAAAAGTATAAGAGAGAAAGCACTGGGGGTGATCATTATGGAGAAAGGCACTAAATAAGGGTAGCAAAACAATATCTCTCACGTCTCTAAAAACAGGAATTAAATTTCTCTAACTGCACCATAGTTACGATTTCTTCGCAAGTACAAATGCCCCTTTTGAATGTGCCTCTCGTCTCCGAGATCCACAGCCAAGATGTGCAACAACGTGCAAGCCGGGGCTCGCAAATGCAATAAAACCCCGATAATCACCCCTAGTCAACAAAGGAAACCGAGAGCACTAATTGCTCTTTAGGTTGCGCCTCGAAGACCACCCCCCGACGTTGTCAGGTGGTAGTCGAGGGACTACTTGAAGAGACACTGTGAATACACTGGTCGGAGAAGCGCTCCCGGCGCTGCACCGACACGGCGGAAGGTTCGTCGTGACTTACCCAAGGTGGAGCCCCCCTGGCTGGGGACGCAGGTGAATCCCTGCATCCTTTGGAAGTAGTAGACGGTGACGCTGTCGAAGCCCACCGTCTTGCGCCTGCGCTTGCAGGGCGGCCCCTCGCCCCCCTCCTCCTCGTCCTCCCTGGGTCGCCGGCCGCCCCCCTGACTGCTCGGGAAGCGTGGCTTCCCGGCGTGGGAAGAGTCCTCGACGTCGGCCCCATCGGGGCCGCCAGGGGGTTCGGGTTTCCCCTGCCCTAGGCCCAGGGTCCCCTCGGACATACAGCGGGGAGGCTCGCTGCAAAGCGGGGGAAAAACAGGGTTGGTTGATGTTGCCACGGTCGAGCCTCGTTCGTACGGACCCCGTTAGAGCTCTGCATGGGGTCGGGCCCGCAGGCCATGTTCGGGACGGGTAGCACGGGTTGTTTACAGGCCCGGGCCGGGCTCGGGCAATGGTGTAGCACACTTACTAAAACATTGAGAAGAAAATGCTAACACAGGGATCAATTAGATTTGAAAATTGAAAGAAGCAAAAAGGGCAAAGTGCAAACAAACTTGCTACGATGCAACTACAGGGTGATTCAAGGAGAGGCCAGGCTCTTTAAATCGACCGCAAAATTCGGTTTCTTAACCTCTCGCGCTACGACATTGTGCAGCGTTGCCCACAGATGGTGCATTTTTTTTTCGTAAAATTTGCAAAGAGCGAACTTACCTGAGGAAAAAGTAAAGAAAGAAAAAGGCTTAGCTCCTATGGAAACGCAGCAAAGCCACCGGTCTTCAAACAACACGGCGCCGTTTCGCACGGGAGACAAGAGATGACGCAAGCAGTCGTGATGCCAACTGCCGCCAATGAACGAGCATACGACGCAGAGAGCCGGCGTCTTTAGCAGACAAGAAACTGCAGTTCCTAGTTGTTACCACGCATGAGCAAGCTATAAATACAACATTTTTGATGGCGCAAAATTTTTGTTTCGTTTAAGCTACATCTGTCTTGGTATGTTCCTTTGTTGTTACAGAATGGCGAATCTACGTCGTTCAACCTTGCACTTCATGGCGAATGCGGAGATCTAGAAAGTACTAATGAACTTAGTTTTCGACGACTGGAAAAACGAAGAAGTTACAGTTCCGAATAAACAAAAGCCATGAAGGCCGCTCAAGAGAGCGACCTCAGCTTGCGAGGTCAAGGTGCCACCGCATAGTGCCGTGTCTCAAAAATTACAACACAAGAAATATGTCATAGGTTGAAGGCATGTGGACATCAATTAACTTTTTGTCCATAAAATAGTATGTATTTCATAAATAAATATTATCCGTTGTTGGTTTTCCTTCCGGAAAAAGAGATAAAACGTGGAATCCAAACAAGGGTTCAATTTTTCGGACCCTTCTAGCCAAAGGGGTTCCTTGCCCTTTTTCTCCTTATGCGTGTCACGGCCGCAGATGAGAGGAAGGAACATTTATAGGCCATGTCTATCCTGATACGACTATGTCAGGTGTATATCCCATATGCCAGTGATATCATATACTATATGATATCACTATCATACAGCTCAGTATACTAGTGATACATATATCATCACTATCATATAGTATAGTGATACTATATGATAGTATCACTATACTATCATATAGTGATATGGATCACTATACTGTGTACTACATATATGCTACATATGCATCTATGTAGCACATAGTACATACAGTACTATATGCTATAGTACTGTACGTACTATAGCTAGGCTATATATTTTCCGGTTTTAGCCGAAACAGACCGATAAACATCCGCCGGTGTCGAAAAGAAAAAATCAGTTAAAACCGGAAACACCGATTCTTTAAATACTTTCATACAAGCGGCAGTTTTTTGTTGTTTTTTTTCATTGTAAAAGTCTTGTGTAACCGTCATCGTTTAGGTTTTCTAAGGTATCTTAGTAATCAGATATGTTTGTTTTTTTTGTCAGTGCTCATCACTTTGACCATCAGTTTATGTCCCCAAATGTTTGTCCTGATTGTGCCCTTATGTATAGACGCTTTACACACGCACCAGAATACAGCCGCCATCGCTGACCTTCTCTTGTTTTACCGAGATACCTAGCCACTCAAATTGGTGTGGACGAGCCTCCAGAAAAGCCAATGCTGGGGAGAAAGACAAAATAAAATCTAAGATGGCAATAACCTAGCCTGCTATGGTAATAACGAAGTGAAGTAAACGCAATAAGGGGAAACAAAAACTGAAGGTCAGTTATGGCGGTGCCCATGCACAGCTGCTGCAAAGCGTCTATAGATAACCCCATTGAAGGTTGCCCTTCTCCTCTGTGGACTCTGGTTGGGGGGTTTGAAGCGTCTTTCATATTGTGCGGGTCAAAGCGGCGTCCGGAAGCTGCATTCGCCAGATTGCCCAGTACTGTCCCAAGGCTCTTCGGACATTTTGGGACATCCCGTGTCTAGCGCAAATGTAGAGTGCACGCTCTCGAAATTGCGCGCAGTCAACAGAAAGGAGCGGGCGGGAATGACACACGTGAGCCCTGGGATTTGTGCATGCATATATTAGAGTAGTGAAGAGTGAAGAATATTGTGTATCACAAGTAAATGGTAATTGAACCATATCTCGTCTTGATTGTTTGTTTCTATTAGCGATTTTCCTTGTCGATAAAAGCTGTTTCAAGCGTCTGCACAAGAGAATTCACCGAAATGCACCGGTATTTTGGAAATAAATAAACACTGAAAAACATCCTCAGATTTTTTACATAAATAAACACCGGAAGGTATATTGCCTAACTATAGCATATAATATGCTATAGTACATACAGCATGCATGTACTATATATAGTACATACTATACAGTATGCATGTACTGTATGATCAGTACATGCATAGTGATCATACTATACTATGTGCTATAGTATGTACTATAGCACATAGTATGTACTATAGTGATCATATTATAGTATAGCATGATCACAGTATAGTGATTATATAGTATGATAGTCATCAAAGTGGACAGACTCAATTTTGGAAAAGGTCCATTCCTGCCGAGGTAGTGACGACATGATTGAAAAAAATTGCATCACTCTTCCAGCGTCATTGTGGGCAAGGCTTGCAGCAATCTTTCTGTGCAGACGTTCTAAATTGAGCTAGAAAATGTGAAAATTAATAAATTCATATTTAAAAACTATTACACCATTTTAAAATTTTTTTTAAATTGGTCTGGACTTTAATAGTAATTGCCACCAATACTGCTATAGCATTAGGACTCCTGAAACCTAAAATTAAAAAGTAATTTAATGAATTTCAGTTAATTAACCAATTTACCATGACAAGTAACCCCTGATCTAATGTCTGTCGAGACTGGTAATTACATGGTGAAGACGGCCTCTCGTTTCTTACCCCCTTTTTTAAAAAAAAATCTGTTCAAATTAAAATAAGATTTTCTGTAGATGATCCCTCAGTAGCGTGAGCATTTTGTTTACTATGAATCTTACCTAGTGTCAAGATCCTGAATGAAAGTCTAGATGTGGCATAGTGCTAAGCTGTGTGCGCCTACAAGAAAAAGGAAGAATATATTTGTATTCGAGTTTGTACTGATTCCGAAAACAGGTAAGATACCTTATAACCTCAAACAATGCAAAACCAAATAATGCTTTTTTTTTTTGTTGGGTACTGGAAGATTTGGTGTGCATGAAATACACACTTTCTTATTAGTCCCAATTTTTTTTTTAATAGAAAACTGTAAGTCTTGATGGCATTTTCTGGTTGGGATGCTTTCCGATACAAGGCACATCCTCATAAATTTGAGATTACACTACTAAATAGCTTTAACAAAATCATTTGCAAAGAGGGGTTGGGATTTAATGCCACTTGTTTTTCTTTGGTGTTTTAGTTGCAGGCAGGGTACCCGAGCCTGGTACAATCAAGGTGGAGACAAAAAATTAAGACAATAGAAATAATTTTGAAGTATAGCTTAAACCTGTATTTTACTTGTTTCATCGCAATAAAAATGTTTCTTTAGGCACATTTCTATTTATACAAAAAATTACTCCATTAAACTTTTTTTTTTTTTTTTTTCTGAATACAATTATTTATGATCTTATTTCAAAAATGCATGAAACATTGTCCTGGTTGTATTGGAATTTTCAAATTCCCCTACATTCAACTTGTCTTTCTTACACAGAAATAAGTTCTTGATTTCTGAAGATAATCCCTGGAAACAGTTCCTTCAGATCTAGTACCACCTAATGATTTCACTTTAACCCTTTGTTGACACATGTTGCCTGGCAACAAACCACACAATAATTTGTTTTGTTTAATAGTTTCGGTTTTATTACCTTTTCTGGATCTCGTAGTCTGGCAACGGTCTAGAAAATTAAAACTACATCGCCATTTAGTAAAAAGATATGCGAGTAGTTGATGAGAAAAAAGAGGTTTGACGCACAAATATGCGGTGACTGAGAACGGCGGATCTGCGAAAAATATGAATAAGTGTTTTTGTCTTGCCACTAATATCTTAAGCCAGGTGACCAGTTTACTGCAGGCATGCCCAGATATTATTGACATTTTACAGTGACCCTTCGAGGTTACGCAAGGAAGCCACCTTTGGACTTTTGCCTAAAGCTGCCCAAAGGCAACAAAGCTATAACTTGCAAGTTATAGCTTTTATAAGCATATATATAAGCATTATAAGCATTATAGCTATTATTATAGCATTATAGCTTATTATTATTATTATTATAGCATTATAGCATTATAGCTATTATTATAGCATTATAAGCATTATAACAAAGCTATAACTTGCAAGTTATAGCTTTTATAAGCATATATATAAGCATTATAAGCATTATAGGCATATTAGGTATGCCCAGATATTATTGACATTTTACAGTGACCCTTCGAGGTTACGCAAGGAAGCCACCTTTGGACTTTTGCCTAAAGCTGCCCAAAGGCAACAAAGCTATAACTTGCAAGTTTACCTTACAATAATTTTTTATTCATTTTTTTTAAATTTCAGCTCTGTTCTTTTGTTTGATCTTGTTAAACATTAAAATCTTAAAAAATAAAGATTTTCGGCAATTTTTGTATATCTCACCAATAAAGGGTTAAATAGCAATTTGCAAGGCGAAATCCCATTTCACATTTTATTGAAATTTAAGTTTTATGTGACAGACCCTCAGTTTTAGTAAGAAAATAGTCTATGGCATATGTTACAAAAAAAAATTGACCTTAAAAGGAGAAAGCTTTTTTCCATTGTATTCCAAAAGCTTGGCAAATGTAACAAAATACGTCATTTGTGCATTGGCCGCAGTTTGCATCTGCTCGGCAAGCCATTACATACGTGTCTTTCGCACTCTGTGATGTGATCTTGGGGTGACGAAAACACAATGCTCCATCTATGCATCCGGCTATTGCATGTGGTGCATGCTCAACAAAAGCAGCAAACTCTGGCCTCTCAAATGCTTGAGAGGCCAGAGTCTAAGGTAGAAGTATGAACCGGTAACCGAACCAATATTTTGCATGTATGACCGAACAGGAACCGAATTGGAACAAAATGAAAAGTTACTGAACCCGAACCCAAACATTGACAAGTTCCACGCCCTGGTTTCAAGGTCCTAGGGGTTCCTTTCCAATGTCCCTATTACACTTCATTTCACCGAAACTTGGCAAACAGCGAATGCTAACGCACCTTTGAGCCATTCAGAGCGACAGAGGCGAAATATGCAACAGCCCTTACCAGAGGTACAACGGCGAGGGCATAACACAAGCAGTTGTGCCCAGACATGGCTTTTATCCAACCCTGCCAAAAGGTTAGCCCGTCACTCAAAACTCATACAAAAGTGGCTTGCCTCCTTCTCTTGGCTGTGGATTCAAAAGCAATGCGAGCAACTAGTGAGATAAAGTATGGTCACATGTCTCCTTCCGAAATGCTGATTAGTCACTAGTACCATAGCCTCTGCCATTTGCAAAGTCATGGTGAGACAAAGTATAGCTTCTACCAGCTGCCCGCCTCATTTTAAGGGCCTTTTCAAAGCGGGTCACCTATGTGTCATGCCGGACACAGTCATAACATAACTCCACGTTGCAGCAGATCAGAAGAGTTCCTTCCAGAGGACTATCTCAGATCACTCTTGATAACACTCGTAAATGAAGATGGCTCACCACAAGGAGTTTTAGTTATTGTTGGATCTGTGCATGTGACTCCAGCAAATATAATTATAAGTACGGCTTCAGACCCTGCCTTCAGCTCTCAATGTCAACCACGTCTAGAATAATAAAAGAAAAAAAGGTGTCGTGATAATTAACTGGTTTTTCAGCCCTATTGCTTTTGCTCCCAGATATCCAACTCCAAGCTCTCATCTCAAGAGCAATTCTTTCAGTTTTTTCTACACTGTCGCGATCGGCAAAAGGATATACCTAGCACAACCCTTTCCCGGTACCAAAGTGTTCATTCTTACGAAACTCACACTTACACGTTCGGGGAACATGGACTATTTAAAACCAAAAATGATACTTCATTGCTGCTATTAAAAAAAGAAAAAAAAGACAAAAGTTAGATTTTGTTTTTGTTGCTTTCCACCATAGCCAAGATGCGAATTCCGCGACGCTGATAACTCCGACAACAACACCCCGCCGAAGCCTTCACGCGTGCATCGTGTTGTCGTCGGTATCGTTATCGAAGTTATCGGAACGATATACTAAAATTCTGACGCGATTTCGTTCGGTGGACAGCTTGCGATCGATTCTGTGTACGCTCTAAGCAGGCATGACAATGCGAGGCGTTTCTATAAACGATGAATGAGGGCGTGAGATAGTACACCCGCTCGATATTCATCAACAGGTCTGCAATTGAAAACGCCAAGACGAGCCAACCTAAATATAAACTACAAAACAAATGGATGCGAGTGTGTGTGTTTCTTTTAAGAATCCAGGTCGGAGGCTCATAGCTCTCAACAATTCTTGCGGTAACTACCAAATAAACAGAGGTTCCCAGCACGGGCTTTAGGTTCGCAATTTTCAATTATTCACCAGATTCTAGTTTTTATTTTCGCTTGTAAATAGCTTTTGATAACAGGGGCGACCGTCCTTTATCCGGTTATTACGTCGCTTTCTTGTTATTTATTTAAAACGAGACAGCATGGAAATCGAGCCACCCAAACGATGGACAGGGCGAAGAGATGGGCTTTTATTGTTGGAAAGGTCGATCCAATTTCCAGCTGCAATGCCAGCAGCAGCTGTAAAATCGCTTAACATTAAAGGTACTGATTCTCGTAGTTTAAAAAAAGAAAAAAAAAAAAAAAAAGAGGACGCACAACATTTTAAAACCAGCCTGCCACAATCTTAGACGGCAGGTCAAAACGTAATAAACAAACGGCCAATTCGTTGCCCGCACAGTAAACAATCGATAACCACGTCTGTCTGGAGCTGAAATCTGAGATCAGTCGAAGGAATATCGGAGCGAAATGATGCCCTCGTAGCGAGCACATCGCCCTACACGGCGATATAAACCGTGAACTCACCTGTCTATTAATACATTCCCAGCGATGCAGCGGGGGCCGTTCCTTGTTTTCGTGTTATCCTCAGGTAAAAAGAGCGTCGAAAGGTATCCCTATATGGTCCTAACGGAGGGGCCCTGATGATTTCACAAATTAAAGCGAGCACGGGAATGAATGGCGGCCATGCTTCTCGAACACAAACACCACAAGAAGCCTCGTGAGTGTAATGTGGCTCCACCAAATCAACCAGCGGGATTCCCCCGAAGTAAAATTGGCTCTCAAACGTGGCATCTATGGACGTATTAAGACTCGTCAGCACGAAGAGAATGAAATTATAGAACGCAGTTTTACGAAATATTGTATTTACAAGTGAAGAGTGAAATTTTCCAGCAATTGCTTAAATTCCACCCGCGTTTAGAATGCAACACGCACGAAAGCTTTGTGCTATCATGCAGCCTCATCGACAAATCAAGACAAACATGAAGCCCCATCGGAAATAATCCATCTCTCATGGTGAGTAGTTCTTCCCAATACTGTTGAAATAATCATACAAGTTAGCTCATAAAAGAATGAAAAGCAGCAATAAACTTACGTTAAAAGAAGATATGTGTTAGTCTGGCAACCATGCCAACTATGTGGCGCGTAATTTGACACGTTTTTCGCGGAAACCTTTTATTACAGTGGCGTTGCTTTTATTGATTCAATTTCCGTCATACCATAACAACACCATATGCAATATTCATTTACCACTATTATATAAATCAAACGTTTAAAGGCCCGTTCACATTTGCGACTTGGGACAGTCGCTGGAGCAACTAGCGACAGGCGACTGGCGACCACCAGTGTTCACATCTGATTGAGCGACCGACGAGTCGCCAGGCTCGCTGCCAACTTAACGGATAGTAATCAACACCTTTTCGAGCCGACTGACAGGTTTTTATGATCAAAGGTGCCGGCAGGAAAAAACAAGAAAACGTAATTGTGCTTCGGGGCGTAAAACAACGGCTATATGTGCGCTCTTTCAACCGTGATATGGCACGTACCTGCCATGCCGAAAATGTCGCCGATCTCGTTTTAGGCCTGCAGCTTTTTGCCCCGATCCTTGTGGTCGGGGTGCCGCTTATTGTAAAGGAACAAATAGTCTTTGACAGCATTAATAAGAGCTTCCGCGGAGACAGTGTTGTCAGGTTGGGCTATATATAGCCAAATTAGGCTACATTTTTTTTCTAGTTGGCGTCAAAATTTCGTGGTTGGCTATATGACTATTTTGGGCTATTTCTAAGAATGCGGCGAACTTTTGTCGAACCTCAGGTTCGACGCCGACGTAAAAGGCTCGGCTAGTTAATTTTCGAGCTTTTAATGTTTCGAAAAGAAAATTGTTTATCTTTTGGCTATTTGAGAGGAAAGAGAGGAAAAAGAAAGGTTTCAAACTTCTAAAAACTTCAGGGTCTTCACAATGCGCAGTGAAGCAATGCTTGCAGAGTTCAAGCGGTCTCCCTACAGCGCAGTGGAGCATAATTCGGACGCATATGGCTCCGCCCGAACGTACACTGAACTCTCCAAATGCTGCTTTGGTGCCCATTGTGAGAATCCTGAGGCACCCAAGTTTGTAAAAATGAGAAGTCCGTAGTTTCACAGCTACACAATTGACTACCTTCCAGTCGTTGCCCACCCCAAGAAAGGACAACAAATCAGAAATAGCGTGAACCGAAATGGGTGACAAAAAAAAAAAAAAAAAAAAAGCAAAAAAGAGAAACGGGTGGGATATTGGTAAGGACCTGAGATATATTGGAAGGGGGGGGGGGGGGGGGGGGTTCTGGTTTGAAACTCCCAGTGTTCTGACTGTTCTGCTTCTGTGTTTTTGTTATTTTACTGTATGATCGTACCTCCCAGGCTTCACAATAAAGCTGTCTTTGTGTGTTTTGTACTTCTCATAACTTAAGGGCCGGGCCATACGCACATTCGCGTTTGAACGCGTTTGAGTGCGTTGCGGAGTCCTTGCGGCCAGGCGCGGTCGCTTGCGGAGCGACGCGCGCCTTCGCGCAAACGCTCGGTAGCGCGGCGCAAGCGAGTAGAAACTCGCTCAACTTTCCGAAGCGTTGCGGTGCGTTCGGGTGCGTTCGACCAATCAGAAGCCGAAAGAGGAGAGGGGGTGACGAGTTCGCTCGCCCCACCCGGCCGACTCGGCGAGACGCATCCGGTTCGCCGGTCGCAGTGCTTGCTTTTTCGTTTTGGGGAGTGCTGGGGACTGTATTTTCCATGGTTCAAGCTTGACAAAACGTCGGGGAAGCCAGCGGGATTGTCCCAAGATCGAACACTTCGACGCTGTCGCTGTGCGCCGCCATATTGCCTTGGATTTCGCTTACTATTGGTGAGCCACTAGCGACGATAGCGCGTTCTTATTGGCTCTTGACTGCGGTTGACTGCGTGTCAACACGCAGTCAACCGCAACTGTGCGTACAAGTTTGGCGCAAGCGGTCTTCGCAACGCAACGCGTCCGCTTGCCACTACGGAACGCACCGCGCTCAAACGCGAATGTGCGTATGGGCCTTTTACGATGGAGGGGTCAGTGTTATACAAATTTTCATCCTTCCGAAGCTTTTTTTTTCTTTAGTCTTTCACAAAATAACATAATGTACACAAAATCTGGTGCATCAGAGGGTTGAAAAAGAGATTCTAACTTGTAATGTATAAATGTGAGAAATTGTCAATATAAGGGTTAAAAATCGTTGTTTTAGTCTTGGCTATATTGGGCTATAATGTTTTTTTTTTTTCCGTTTTGGCTATATTTGGGCTATACCTTCCAGTCGTTTGGCCGTTTTTTGGTGGGGCCATCTGGCAACACTGCGCGGAGAACTTCATGCCAGTGACCGCCGCCGTGCGCGCGTCGCTGTTTCCCGTGGGAAGCAGTGCCGGATGTAAACAAACGCACGCATCACTTCCGACGAGACTGATTGGCTCCGCCGTCCAGCGACTCGGTTTTGCTACTTGAAAAATCGGTCAGGGAGCGACTGCCCAAAATCGGTCGCTACCGACCTGTTTTTGTCGCTCCGCGACCAAAAACCAGTCGCTAGTCGCTGGTCGCTCCAGCGACTGTCGCAAGTGTGAACGGGCCTTAACAAAGGAAAGGCGTAAAACTAATACATAGTTTGCACGTGACGTCATTCAAAGAGCGCTCCGATGACCACCAGAGAGGAGGGCGAGAAGAAGCTCCGCTCTTATCAGGGCCCCCCTTTTGTGCCGCCCGGATTTGCCCAGTCGTCGCTATTCTCCCCCCAGAAGATTAGAGAAGATTAGCCCGTCACTCAAATTTCTCACAAAAGCAGCTTCCCTCTCCTCCTCTTACATGGAGGCCAAATATATGCGACGCGACGTCAGTGCAACCCATGTATATAGAAATGATTCACCTAAGAATTGTAGGTACTCCCACATTCCAACCGGTGTTGCGGAGTTGCCACTCCGGAGTTGGAATGATTCCGCAATCATCCCACATTTTCGCGCGACCCCGGGCCGGGGATGGAATGGAATGGCGGCACCGCTCGGGGGAGTGGAATGCGAATGGAGTTATATACCTTTTGCCCGGAGTGAAGTGGGAATGGAATGGGCCCGGTTCTTACACGAGCTGTGTTGATTTTAATCTAGGGCCTACGGGCTGATGGCGCAATTCGTTAGTGCGTGGTAAACAAGGAGGATAGAAGGGTAGGAGAGGGCATGACGTCAGCCGCGTGGCCTCCACAAGCCATATTCCCTTGACGCCTCGCCTCTTTCTCATTTTCCTCCTCATCCTCCTCACTTATCAGGCCGACGTGACCACATCACGTGACCGTGGGTGTAGCCCGAAACAACCCATTCCCGTTTGAACCCGTCCCGTTTCGACCCATTCCCGAAACAACCCATTCCCGTTTGAACCCGTCCCGTTTCGACCCATTCCCGAAACGCTCTCATATTTGAAGCCGTAGCCAAGACATACTTTACGTTTTAATTCGTCCCGTTTGAACACGTTGGTATAAAGCCCCGCACCATCTCAATCTCTTCGCGAAAACTGTCCATCGTTCTAATCCTGGTTTGCGCAGTTTTTCAGCTTAAGAATATGTCCCGAAATCATGTTAATGCAAAGGTGCAGGCGAGCAATTCAGTTATGTTGTGAAATATTTTTGATTGTAGACGTATTCTTAAAATATGCAATACTTTCAGACAAGCTTCAACGAGATATATTTCTACTTGAACCACTTAAAATGTTTCTTTCAAGATGGTCCCCAAAATGCGTAACTACGAAATGGACCATGTACACTGCGCGACAACGTTACCACGAACACGATGGTGGCGATTTTTCGAATTTTACTTCGAAATGGTATTAGAAGGTACCAGATTTTACCGCTTAGGTTAGTGGCCCAGATGAGCACTTTCAAACACACTAATAATATTGATGGCAGTCTTCTTATTTTTTTTTAGACAAAGAGCTAAAACCAACAATCGCTTTTTCGCGCTAACGGTTTCGCGCTCTGTACAACCTAGACCGTTTTCGGCGTCACGCGACGCTCCTCCACAACCCGCTACGATACCCAGAACTCTACAGTCAAGGCCATCGGCGCGCAGGCGCAGTAGCGGCTTCTTCGTTGCGGAGGGCTTAGCGAAAGGGGAAACGCAGTCTACGAAAACTCCCTATTAAAGTCTTAGAGTAACGCAGGCAAGCACTTTGAGTAAGCAAAAATTAGCGTTGCCTAAGTTTTTATATCGCGACGCTATTTTTAGGTTACCCAAAGCGCTTGCGTACATTATTCTAAAACTTCCTTATAGTGAACGGGATATTTTTAAAAGTGATAAATCAGACAGGCCGACGGGCATATGATTGCGACTTCATTTTCTTACAAGTTCAAACACAGAACCGTCCTGTACACAGGCAAAAATCATAAACCACAAAATGCTATCGCCTTGGTTGAGGAAGTTGAGCAGGAAAATCGCGCCATCAGAAAGGCGACACTCCAATAGTGATAGTTCGCGGCGGTCACCTGGCCCGCACGGCACCACCATTTGCAAGCTGCTGCAGCGATAACTTTGTCAAGGCCTCATCCCGTTTGCAGGTCGATGAAGTTGTAAATGTTCGGGTGAGCCATCTCTGACACAGCGATTATCTTACGGTCCTGTCACGATCTTTCTGGAACGTGGACGAAGGGGGCCGAAGCACCCGCCGAGAAGAGACGACACGCAGCCTGGTTGTGAGGGTGGACGATGACTGACCGGAGCGGCGTACGCTCAACGGCGTTTATTGCGTTTATTGGGCGCGATGACCAATGTTGCCCGCCGAGCCAGGCGGCCGCAGACGGGCGGACTGGAGGGGGGCGCTACATACTTGTTACAGGTGCCATGTCTCCGAGGTTGTTTCGGGAGAGGGAGAAGTGATGTGTGCAAGAAGAACAGACACTGGACACTTGAACGTAATCAACTGTTAACGAACAATACAAACGAACCGAGCGACGGCCGAAGCGGGAAGGTTGTTTCGGGAAAAGGCGAAATGGAAAAGGATGAAACGAGAAGGTCGTTTTGAGCCGGGTCGAAACGGGAAGGTACGAACGGGAAGGTTGTATTGGGAATGGGTCGAAACGGGAACCACCCGTGACCGTAGGTAGCCTTCGTCTAGCCTTCGATCTGATAAAACCTACCGGACGGAGCGCGCGCAAGCCTGCAAGGAATCCTTCTACAATCAACTACCTATCTCACACGTGATATGTCACGCTCATCAATTGAAAGAGAGATCTACGGTCACGTTGGCCACAACATCGTTTAAACTTTTTACGACTAGGCTTCACCAATATTGCAACGTGCCCCCTCCCAGTACTCTGTGGTAAATGACTCTTGATACAGCATCATTGCACTGGAGGGGACTGACGGCTGGATTGTCTTACTAGCTCGTGAAACAACCAAAACTGAATAGTAGTAGACGGACAAGGTGTCGTTCCTGGCTCCGCCAGACGCAACAAAGCGGTTGTTATAACTATACGCAGTTAGCAGGCAGATTTTAGCCATAATGTCGAACCGAGCCCGAACCGAAAAATGGAGCTGAATTGAAACAAAACTGTAACCCAAATCAAACATTTGATATTGAACCTGAAACGGAACGGAACCGTAATCTTATGTGGTGGTTACCGGTTCGGCGTCATAAAATGTGAGCCGCGCCTTCTTGCAGGTGGCGGCGCGAAGCAAATAAATATTCGCGACGTTGGCGTCAGAAGCTAAGTTTTGACTAAACAAACGGTAGCGGCGACATTGAGACAGCTCTATAATAATAAAACAAGCGTATTTCACGTTTATGTGCAGAATGAATTGGCGTCGACGAGTCGATGTGGAGGCGTACACTTCAATAAAAAAAAAAGCTAGTTATTTTGTTTGTGTGCGTGTATTTTTCTCCAGCTACTGAGCACTCTTCTTTCAGGAAAGAGAAAGCAAGCATAAACTTAAAAAAATACAAAGTGACGGCTGTCGGCGCGTTTGTTCCTCAGTGGCGAAATCTGGAGGCGCCAAGAGGCGAAGCCGCGACCAGCTCGACACTGCGGTGACGGTCGGGGGGCGCCAGTCGCCCATAGTCCTAGACGCGGCTAAAATTTTGTTTGTTGTGTCTGCGCTTTTTATAGACAGCAACTCACCCGGTGCCTTCTGTATGACCTTTTTCGTTTTAATCCTCTTTCGACAAACCTTCGCTGTCTTTCTCTTCATCAACTCAGTCGTTCGAACAAGTCGTTCGGACGTGTAATGTGGGTAGTTTGCTATTTCAGTCTGGAAGAGCATCGTACCGGCCTGCAGTCGTGTATCAGTATTGCGTGGTGCCCGCTCGACCCCAGGCTAGCTGTGCAGGCTAAATTTCTCATCTATATAGTGGATAACAATTTCGCAATACTCTTGCAAACTAAATTCCTGCTGTTTAAACGTCTAATTAGTTTTTGAGGGTAGTTTGCGAGTAGGTGCGTGCCACCGTCACGGTGTCACTGTGCCTGACTGACCTCACATGTGAGTACCGTACTTTGTTTCTGTTTCCATGCGCCTGTATAACAGTTCTGTTTTTCATTTTTGTAAAACGGTGTTTGCGTTATAAAACAAAACAAAATTAAGTGGCAATCATCAAAAGATCGCAGAAAGCATCTCCGTCTCAAATTTTTTCACGATATTTATTATGGTAAAACCGGTATAGAAAAGGATAAATATGTGAAACCGCCTTTTTACGTATCCAGTAGCAACGACCATGCTTTAAAAATTATAGAAATTCCTTATAGGGGTGACGTTTTGCGACACTCCTTTTTTGTAGAGGCCGCGCGCGATTAAAACTCCCTACTATCCCGCGCGGTCTCAATAGCTTCCAATAACGCCTTTTTTTCACGCACTGAATGTGTGAGTTTTTTTTGTGTGTCTGTATATTGTTTGTCCCCCCCCCCCCCCCCCCCCCCCCCCTACTGTAATGCCTGATGGTGAAGTGGGTACCTGAATGAAGATAAAGATAATGCGTATGACGTTGTGTTCAACTCACCGCTTCGTCTTAACGCCTGGAAGCTGTGAAACGGTTTGAACTGGTTCGTGCTTGGTGGAACTGGCAATCGAATCGTTATTTCAAATGTACCGTTACTGAACCTGATCCCAATGATGACCGGTTCGACCCCCTGCTTTTAACCAGCCGATCTTGTAGTGTTTGCGTGGAACAAAAAATAAAGAATTGATATGATCAGAAATCGCAAGAAGCGAACGGCAAACGAAAGTTTACGTTTTAAGGCAGGTCCCATAATATGGTGCTACAGTCCCTTATGCTGGCGCCGTATATACCGATTGCACTTTGTCAGCGTTTTTTTTTTTTTTGTTCTTGCAGTAGTGCATAAAGATGCTAACAGCGCATGCTAGCGGTGCTGTTGCGCAAGTGTTCGAGGTAGTGAGCAAGATAGATTCTTGCGCCACGCACGAACTAGACAGATTTAAGGCCTTATCAAACAATCAACACGCAGCTCATGTATCTATGGAGGGTACACGGTCCGTTTGCAAAGAAAATAGGTGGTTTTAATTTTTTAGCGTCTGTTGAGATTCAAAAGTCTTTTACGCTTGATCGTCTTCAGTGCCTCGAAGTCTTCAGCGGGGCCACGAAGCGCTTTCTGCGACCACTTTTCGGCTTAGCAGAACACTTTGAGGGTATCTTTTGCATAGTTTTGGAGTCGTTTCTACGTTTGATAACGTCAACAGTTCTTTGCTGTTTTTTTTTTTCTTTTTGCTTTCAATAACACAATGTGGTTGTTAATGGCCCTTTCTTCACATTTAGGAATTAGAGGAATAGAATAGGGGAGTTCGGTCATTCCAGGAGTGGCATTGTGTCCAGTGTCTCCATTCCGAGGAGTTGAAAGGAACGAAATAGTCGGAAGCTCTAATTCTCGGGAATAATATTGAAATGGAATGGGGGTGCCCATTCCTGGACACTGATTTTTACAGGAATACAGGCAGTAATTTCTTCCTACAGCTCATATTGAGAAAAAAAAAAAGAAACAAAAAGAAAGGTTTACAATTTTATTTTGTGCAAAAGATGGACCGAGGTACCTAAGAAACCTTGAGAAAGAGGAACTTGGAAAGCTCGAAACAAGTTTGCTAAATATATGCGTACCCGAAAAGTAATCTTTCATAATCCTCCTTTGGATCTAAAATCACAAAGAAAGGAAAAGTGGATTCACCTTGAGTGCACCCACCTGCACTCCTCCAGCGACCCCTGCCTTCCTCCCTCTCCGACTTCATCCCTGTCAACCAAAGGTCGTCCCACCCTCACCACCCATCAAAACAACGCCGAAAAAAAAAAAAAAAAAAAAAAAAAAACATGAGCCGACACTTTCCTCGCTGTAAAGACTCCACAGGCGAGCAGCGAGCGTGCACGACCTCACTCACGCAAAGCCCAAGCAGAAAAAGAGCCCTGCCCACACTGCGCGTGCGTTGCCTTGAAGCCACCACGCACAGCGAGCACGCGGACCGGTTTGTGGCCGTAGTGTCGGCCGAAACGTCATCCGCGCACCCTTTCCTCTTCCCTCTCGCGTCCAGCCTTTTCTCACTCTCGGTGCACCGGTTGCCGTGGAAAAAGAAGAGGCCCAAAAGTAGGCCAGCTTCTCCCGTGGGCTGACCTGGATACTTGCCCAGCTTACCTCGTTCCCCCGACTCGAAATACACGCGCGTACAGCAATGGCCACCGCCGGACCGTCGTTGCCGTCCGCAAGGCGGGTTCGAGCTACCAGCGTTGGCTCCGCGGGCGCCTTACCTTAGCGAGAGGCTCGCGCTGATTGAGGAACCTCGGAGGGCTCTACCAAGGATGTGCAAGCAGGCACGTGGTGTTTCGTTTGCGGGGGGTTGGTCGTCGTCGTGATTGAGAGTGGTCATCGGTTGTGGTGGTCCTCGGACGTCGTCAACGTCGTGCTGCTCCGGAGCTGACGTCTGGAAGATTGACGGGTCTGCCATGGGGAACGACTCGGGATCTTCTCGGCAACGCACCGACATGTGGTTTAAGACCACACTGCTTTTGTTACTAGGTGAGTTCTCTATTACATAGCTTTGGATAAAGCGAAATACTCGCTACTTGTGCTCGCTCTTGTGAACGACATAGATGGTGAATATTAAGGTATGTCATCATGCTGGTAAGTACTCCCTGGGGGTCTGACTGCCTGTTGCGTATGTCAACCTTATGGGTTCAAGCGAGTTTATAGACGTTGTTATTTGTGACGCTGTCAGCAGTAGTGCTCACTCAAGCAAAACGCAGAGGTGCCACTGACTGCAACTTTGAGGGGCAGAGGTCTTGCCAAGCACCACGCCGTTCTCCCCACCCCCTACATGTAAACCCGCAAAACAAATAAAGAAAAAAAATATTGATGTTGAATTAACGGTAAAGGGGGGGGGGGGGAGGGTAGGACTGTATTGCTTTTAAAGTTTGAGCATTTACGCATGCGTGGAGTTCATGGGAAGAAGATAAGGGAAGCAATGTTATGAAAAATACATCTTTGAAGCTTTACTGTACGAACATATTGTGAATCTAGACGGTGAAAATGATATCATAAACAAATAAAATGAACTCGACCGGTTGACTCGGTCAAGTTCCTTCTATTGGCTTATGAAATTCACGAAGATTTGTAATTTTTCATGGCAAGACATTGTAAAATATCCTACCAAAAGTTGTTTTGTGAAGCTCTCGCTATGATCGGTTCAATTGGATTGATAGCAATGGTCACTGTTTGTGATTCGGGCACCAATTTGAAGGAATGTAGGTAGGTGTTTTTGGAACACCCTGGATAGTTGCTTGATACCCGGTTGCAGACCAAACAACAAAGGTATTTTACAAGCTCGAAGTCACTGACATGGATAAGACCCTTTTCGTAAGTGCGCGCCCTCCAGGAGCCGCTGCGCCGATTATCCGAAGCCACCATAATTTGGGCACGCATTGGACGGGAGTGCTCCGTCAGCGCTCGAAATGAACTCGGATTCAATCAGGCGCAGCATCGCTCATGAAGCAATGCCCAAGAAGGATGGAAGGATGGATGGATGTTAATGGCTATACCCTTTGTAGCGGGTGGTAGCTTGCGCCACCTAGCCTATGTCTAAAAAGACAAACACATACGATTTCTCCTACCCTTCGAAGCCAATTCTCTCCCCCTAACTATCACCAGGCAGTGTGGGATATCACTAGGAGGACCTTCTGGGGGGATCGGGCGAAAAACTAAAACATATCAACCCCCGTCTCTTCCCCCCGGCGAGGGAGTCGCCAATTTTCCTCTGGTCAAACCCTGTCGGCGTTACCTCAGCATCGGACTCAACGGGGGACAGGGTTGGGCCGGAGCCACACGGGAGGGAGTCCCAATTTCCCTCTGTCCCCAACTGTGCTATTAGACAATGTGGCGGCCTCCAGTATTGCTTGATAGACTTAAAAAAAAAACACGTTAAAAAATTTAGAGTGCAGGTATTGCCGAAAATTTTTCATTCAGTGCATATATAAATTATAATTGATGTAACTGAATATTCAAGATGGCTGCCATAACAAACGATGGTGGCAGATGTTATGACCGCGCATTTGCTTCGTGCTTGTCTCGCTCTTATGACAAACTGTAGTCACGTATTCATTGCACAAATGAATGGGAATGGTCTTCGTTATTGTTGTTAATAATTACAGAACATGCTTCACGGCGTAGGTATTTTGCCGCGTCTCTCAGACAGATGCCGAGCGCTGGTTATGACTTTCGTGCTCCAATCATCAATGGTCGTTCAGTGTGGTCACAAAACGTACGTCTTTATGCTAATGACACCCCTCTGGAGCAAGAAGTACTAACTCCTCTTTGAGGATTCCATGCAGAAATGTCTGAAAGTAAAGTCGAGCTTGGGAGGGTATGGTCCCCAAGGTGATATCTGGAATGGTGGATAAAAGGACTTTAATGAAAGCACCTTTGATCCCTCATGCCTTAGTGAAACCTCCCTAAACGTTTACTCGTGTATCTGTAACGTACACTTTTTGGTAAAAGATATAATGCAGACGGTTTCAGCTATGAGAAACGAAAAGCCCGACAATGATAAACCAAAATACGCCTAAAAACAACCTTAGAATGACAACTTAGAGAAACAGATAGCTCGACGGTTGAGAAATAAAATAAAATGATATAATCATCTCATAAGAAATTCCGAGCAGTAAACATACATATTTTTAGTCAACGACCGTATGCTTGCCCAAGAAGGTTGCTTGTCACGTGCAAAGCCAACGGCAAACAAGCGTGAGACACCCATTTATTAATAAGCGAGTCTGTTTCCTTCATTATTTGTGTCCATAAAAAAAGTACACGTTATCCGAATTTCACCTTTATGTAAAATGCCGTATAAATAGTACCTAACTGTACAACGGTATATAAATACTGTACTTACGTAAATCCTCAAATTGTTGCACGTTCGTATAAACTTGTAAAATACTATACTCGGAACCTGAAACAAACATAAAAATGCCATTCAAGAGAAGGAAAAAAGAAAAAAGTCCGGAATTTGCTATTTACATAATAAAAATGCGAACCAGAAAAAAAGAAATAGCGATATAGAATTGGAGACATTCCCAGCCGACATCGAGAAGCAATAAAATGTCCGTCGTCCACTCGTCGATCCGGTGCACGGAGATAATCTGGCGATCTTTCCCCGATTCCGTTAGCTGAGGCGTTGGCAAAACCCGCAAAAGCAAAAAGAAGCAAAGCAACGGGGCCTGCGGTGTGTCGCAAGCAGCTCTCTACGTGCGATAAGGCGGCCGCCCTTTGGTTCGCTTTGTAAAGCTGGCCTTGGGTGCACAATATAGTCCGTTCTGCAACCTTCCGCTCGAGACATTTCTTCTCGTTCCCATGTTCGAGACTCGCTTATAATACAGCGTTCCGGATGAACGAAGCAGTGCGTCACTACACAAACCGGGAGGGGAGGTTTTTGTTCGTTTAGCCAGCCTCGAGTGTACGTAATTCGCTCTGGTTGCTCGAGGACTCGTCCGTTCCTTCGTACGACGGATTGGCCGGCAGTATCTATCGCGTTTCAACGTATTGCAGTCAGTCTCGTACAGGGCAACAACAGCAAAAAGTGATATATACGATGGGCATAACTCCTCATAACTCCAGTGCACTCGTCGACAGGGTTAGAACGCGGAACGTCGACGTCCGGCATAGGGCTTTCGAATTCGAACGTGTTCGACGAGTGCAGTGGAGACAAATGCAGCTAGCTTTTAGGTTTACCCAGTGATTATTCCAAACAGAGCCTGGCGTTCTGACGTCCCTGCGCGCTCTCTCGTTTCCTCATCTCCCTCACTTTCTCGGCGCACAGACGCACTATCAATGAGAGATGGACGCTTCTGATATAGTTTCAAGCCGACTGTAAAAGAATGATTCGTGTAAAAACAACAGAAAGCGTACACGCAGATCGGACATGTTCGAGGGGTATACTGATAGATGGCGCCAGTGGGTCGATGTGTTCCCTCGAAGGCGGCTGGCTGTAAGCGGGCACAGCGCACTTGATCGCGATTACACTCAAGCTCGATTGTGTGAAGCAGTACCGAAGGAGAGACGCTTGTAAGAATGGACTCTTCTAAAAGAACAAACTATAAACAAAGGGATGTAATCAAACACGCCTTGTTATCGATATTGATTTTTATTTTAGCGCGAAGTCATTATATGTCCTTTTACGAGAAAAGGCGTCCGCGTTGTGCCCGAACGATGGCCATAAAAATACGTCATCAAGCACGCGCCGCTCAAAATCAAAGGAAACGCGCCTCAGAAATAGGACACAAAGAAAAGCACAGCAAACGCAGATGCTTCGTCACGGAAGCCGTGAAGCCGGCGGGAGCACCGCGCCTGCGCAGTGGGAAAGCGTGGTGTCACCGTCAGTTCGCCGTATGCAAAAGGAAGACGTGGCGCTCTGCCCCCGGCGCGTCAGTTGCGCTTCGGACTTCATCTGTGCTCTTTGTGTGCATGTGCTTCGTGCGATGAAGTATGAGGCCCTCGACACCGGCAGCAGCGTCTACATCTACGGCAGCACACTGAATGCAATACCGGCAGAAAGAACTTTAATACGTGTAGAAACATTACTCGAAAGCATTTCACCCACGGGACTATAATGCTTTCGCATTCCTACACGTAAGCAGTTTATTTTTGCACTCGGACGTCTTATTAGTGACCTTAGATATGGCGAGCAGCATAAAAAACGTGCAATGCGCGTGATCCTGGAGCCGAAGGAGAGGAGGAGACAAGAGGGAACGGGGACGTCAGAATGCCGGGCTCTGGTCTAGCTGGGGCCTTTGCCCCTATTTACACTTCGAACGCTGTCGATTGCAAAACGCGGGCGTCAGGCATTCCGCGTTCGCGTTCGAAGCGTGAGCAGCTACAAAGGCAGCTAGTTTTACGTCTACTATTCATTCCAGCCAGAGCTCGGAGTTCTCACGCCCTTGCGCGCTCTCGCCTCCTCCTCCTCCTCTCCCTCAGTTTCTGTCCGCATAGTCCCGAGCATCTCATTATCGCTCCGCAGCCAATGAGACTGCGGCATCCGCCGATAAGATTGCCCAAGAACCAATCAAAGAGCGAGAAGCGTTTCTTACGCTCCCGGTGACTCTAGACTCCAGAGCAATGGGAATCCATACCACGAGTAACACACCCCGATCGATTCTGCCCGTGCTCTGCACACCAGTCATTGCTATTCGTTGCGGTGTGCGTAGAGTACGTTCGAAAGTTCGAAGATCCGAACCATGGAGTTATTATAATGTACGCTAGAGGTTCAACTTGCGCTAGTGTGTATGCGACTTCCGGGACGCTAATTGAAGGAGACGGCAACCACGTGACTACTCTTGCGGTGCCCCTGTGCATTCCCATGGGAAAACGCGCGTGCATTTTCTCTCTCCGCCGGAAAATAACATAGAACACTTTGGTTATTTCGGTCGTACCAAATAGTATGTACCTTTATTATCCTTTTAAACGTGTAATTGGTTTGATTGCAGCATTTTTCTTCAACGGTGAACAATGTCAAACTTCGCTATATTTCAGGCCCAAACCTGTGTTCCATAGCAGGTATGTCAAAACGAGCGACGATTCTAAGCGAAATAACAATAAAAAGGAATGTTTATTTATTTATTTATTTACCCTCAAGGTTTGGGGCATTGTAGAGGGGTGTGGATTACATTTCATAAGATAGTACAACATTGTGCAGTTATTATAGTATAGACAAATAAGAGGCTCCTAATTATACAATAATAGCTAAGGCGTTTTTGAAGAGATTCTTATCTTCGATTGCTGCCGTCGGTGCGGGAAGGCAATTCCACTCATCTGATGTGCGTGAAAAAAAAACAAAAAACAAACAAACAAACTGAAAAAGCGTTATTTCTGCAGGGTGGAATTTTGAGATATACGGGGCAGGTAAAGTAAAATCGTGGCGCAGATATGGCAGATATGAAAGGGCTTGTGAAATAGACATATTCGGAATAATTTATGGCGAGACACCGGAGCTTATGCTCGCAGTTCTGTTGCAGTTGGATAGGATAAAACGAATTGAATTATTTTGAACCATTTCAAGTGAACCTATTAAGTTTTCTTTGTAAGGATCCCACACAGATCAAGCGTATTCAAGTTTTGAACGGATTAGCGTTTTATATAACAAAAGTTTTTAAGGACCGAGGGGCTTTTGAAAAGTTACGTGGGACTATCGAAGCATTCTGTTAGCGTTGTTAATAACACACGAGATCTGAGCGGTCCAGGTGACATCGGCGGTAATGTGAATACCAAGGTATTTGTAAGAGGTGACGGCATCAAGGGGCTGGTGATTTAGAAAGTAGGTAGGAAAACTATTAGCGCGTTCAAGGCTTGCCAGCATTCCGGTGGCGCTTATATATGACTAATGTGCACGTTTTGTCACTATATAGAAATGACTCCGTCGTGCATCTTTACGAGCAGTTAAAGACATTCAAAACGTAAAGAATAAAGTATGTGTGCTATGAGACGTATGTCTGTATATTATTTTTTATGCCGGCCACTGGCAGCTTTACCGGGCACGTTTTCTGGCTTCTCTCGAAGAGTGCGAGCGTGCGGGTGATGTTTTGAACATAGAACAATCATCTTCGCACAGATCAGAAACAATAAAGCAGTACTTACTTATAGAAAATCGTAGTATATTACGACGCCTTCAAATCTATTTTGATCGTACATACACAGGGAGCTACTGATCCAGTGTTACTGCGTAGCTTTTGCCGGTCGTCTCTCTTGGTTTTCCAGATATCCTTCGTTCGTTTGGCGCGTTTATCCCCCATGCTGAAAAGCGCCGACGTTGTGTTCGCGCTAATGGTGTCCGACAGTGCACATAAATACATGTACGAAACCGTTTTAACACCGCTTTTAATGCCATAAACCTAAAAAAAAAAAGAACGTTGTAACTGACCAATTATTTTGTCTGCCTGACTTCGAAATGTTCCAAGCTACTAAGTACGTACGAATTATTCGAGACATTTGCCGTTATAATCGAGGACAGGGAGAAAATGCACTCACCTTTGCCCATAGAACTGCATTACCGGAAGTCAATTTTGACTGGTTGCTGTCTGCTTCAATTTGCGACAAAACAGTCGCGCCAAATGAACCCCCAGCATGCATTATAATAACCTTATGATTCGAACATCTAATTCGAATGTTTTCTCGGCAGGAGTCTGACCACACGTAGCTTGAACAGACATTCTAAAATATCGCACCGGCGCAAGGTATATCGTACTTGCAGGATTTTATTACTATCACCAAAATTTAGAGTTAAAGTACAATATTTAATTTCCAAATTGCCCCTTACGAGGGAAGAAATTGACTAGTGAGATATTGGACTTGTCTTGAACCGTATGCCGTCACGTAAGTGCGTTGTTAGCCATTGGAGAGTTTTGGTATTCAATCATTTTCGAGGAGGGCTCTCATGACAATACCTAACAGTAATACCTAACGGTATTGTCATCAGAGCCCCCCTCATAAAGGAGCTGGAGGCGAATCGGGTATCTTAATCGAGATATAAAAAACGATCCACTAACACTCCTTATTGATGCTTTGCCTGCCCTCTGTACAAATATAAAGTAAAGTGCAAATGGTTTTGATGGCTGCTCTTGACGCTTGCGGACAACCTTTTGTTGCTGCCGTGTTTTGTGCATTTTCTCTTTAATATCACAATTTAAGCCAAGGTCGGTCGATAATCTGTAATACTCCAGTTTCTACCGAATCAGTTTTTGTGATATATATTGAGCCGGACTGATATTAGAAACACCGAAGACACCATGACCTAGCTCCGAACACTAAATGCGAATGAATCTATACAGTTATACCCCCTCCCTCTTCTCCGGGTTGATAAAACGCTTGTGTGCCTCAAAGGGACAATGAAGCAATGTTTTCTTTCACGTCATGGCGAATTCCACGGGTCGTTCTGGAGCGCACCGGGATCGACTTTTCTAAAGACCGCCTATTTCACTGGGCGATCGGAATCCAGATGGACGTGTTCCACACGTCGTTTTGGATTAGCTCCCGCTCCAGATCTCGATCCGGATTCGAGAAAAGTTGCTCCGCCGATTTCGCAGGATTCAACCGGAAGCCAGTTTGGCCAGCCCTCGGCGCGCGCGCGTGACTTC